GGAAAAGTTCACACGTTTAAACAGAACGGCACCTTTCTTGGTAAAATTTATTTTATTTTATTTATTTTATTTTTGTGGAACAAACGATATTATTTACACTAAAGTAGAGGAACTAGGCTTAGCGTTACAATGGGCTAGCAATAACGTGGTTCGAACCCGCCTTCGGCGAGAATTGAACCTAAGACCTCTCACTTATAAGTGAATAACAATACCACTAAATTGTAGTACTAAGTGGTCGGTTTTTTTTATTTTTTATTTTTTATTTTTTAACAAACGATATTATCTACACTAAGGGAAATGGGGTGGACTTAGCTTTACAATGGGCTAATAATAATGTGATTCAAATTCGTCTTTGGCAATAATCGAACCTAAAAACTTTTACTTATAAGTGAAGAGAAACACCACCATAGTACTAAAAACTATAAAACTGATTTCTTGAGTTTTCAAAAATTAACCTTCAATTTTGAGTTTTAGTTTAAATTTGATAACCTCACCCTGTTCAATTCTTAAAATGCCCCTTCTAAAATCTCAGGTTCACAATCTCCTTTCACTTCACTGGTAATGGTATCCTTCCAAGCCGTTCTCGCTGACAAAGCGAGAAACTAGTTAGTAGGTCAAATAGTTAGTTGTTAGGAGTAGAGACGTTTTGTCGGAAGGATTGGATCATAATCAATGTTTCCAATTTTTGTTCTAAAATTTCGGAATCAGAGTAATCTTCAAAATTTCTAAACATAATTAAGATATTCATATATCTTATAAGTTTTTTTAATATTTTCTAACTTTTTTCACATATGCAATTTATTATTCTTTCTTAATATTTGATTACATATGCTTGTGTATAAATTCAACTAATTTCGTAGTGGCCACCTAGAAATACGGTCTAGTGGTATTCTTCTTTACTTGTAAGTGAGAAGTCCTAGGTTTGGTTTTTGCCAAAGCGAATTTGAACCATATTATTGCTAACCCATTGTAAGGCTCTGCACACCATTCCCCTTAGAGCACTTCCACCGTGATCCAACCCCTCCCCCCAACAAAAAGGGCTCCACGATATCCAACTCCACTGGACTCCGAGGGAGCTTGGTTTCTCCCCCAGGTAGAAATCGACAGGCCCAGCGCTTGGATTATATGATGCAATGCTGAAGTCACGTAAAAAAAATCAAAAAATTACAAAAAATTATACAAATTTATAAAAAAGTAATCAAATAAAAAAATTATAAAGAGATATAAAAAATAATTAAAAATACAATAAAAATATAAAAATATTATAATTTTTTCTGTAAATACCTAACCATGTTCTTCCACCTTACACCACATTTCAAAATTTTCAAATCCTTTCAACTAAGGAGCGCGTAAACACTAGGCAATTTGCTTAGCATCACATTTGCGGAGCAGTTTCCAACTAATTACGTGGTGCATGCAGGTGTGGACTAGCTAGTTCAGTTTCGAACGTTATATTTTTTTATAAGTTGATGGTGGATGGAGAATGAGAGGAGATGAAATGAGCAGGTAAAATGACGGTAAGGGAGATATTTGGTGGATAAATTAATCTGTACCACATAGGCCAAATGACATGAACCAATTCTGATGTACTCGATATTCATTTCCATAAGGTACCTAGACACATTTCAATATAACAATAAACCACATTTAGTTATCATAGTGTTTATCGCATGTATCTCCTACTTGCATGGAACTGACACAGCGAGGTATAATAAGGAGAGTTGAACGATAATTCTTCACTAAAAAATAATTAGCAAACCCTATAACTCATTAGGAAGAAAGGGAGAGTAAACTCACGTTTGATTGATAATAAGCAAAAGATAACAATCCTTACACCAAGAAAGAGTATTTGCACGTTCAAATAGAAAATAAAACAAATAATATTTAACTAAGTTTCAAAAGTATCCCTGAACTTAAAACTATGTTTTGGAAAAGTAAACAAAAGATTTTGGCCAAAATTGCCCTTATTGTACGAGCAAAAGCTTATGAGTCTTGATCTTTGCGTCATTCTCTTAGAAACGATATACTATGTTCCGTATTCTAACACCAACGACCAGCCCTATTTGCAATAAGTTCTAGTCCACAGGTGCACATTAGATGTTTCTTGAGGAGGGAAAACACTATAAAGTAAGTACTTAACATATTTTCCATTGGAACATAGCTCGACATCCCTGTAAAAACCACAATTTGCTATGTTTACTGGGCTCAGTTAAAGAATCTCGTCGAACAATTTCTTTACCCATTAAGGTGACAACTTTCTAGCATCTTTATCACGTACTTCTTACTATTACCATTTAAGAAACATGCCATGTCAAGGAAAGCTTCTTTCACCCGGATCTTCTAATGCATTATAACTTACTGAGAGGTTTTTGAATGTCTAAGTTAGAAACTTTTGTACAACATAATTGTGTTGAAATCTCATTGACGATGTTACGTATAAAATCAAATTGGTGCCTGCCAATTAAAATCATGTGAAACAGTTAATGAGTTGACATTTTTGATATATCTATTTGGGTAATATAATTGGATCTGCACATATCTCACTTCTTGTAATAACGTATTTTCATCGCATAAGTTTTACAATTTTAATTGTTCAATTTTCTAATTTTCATTTGAAGATTATCAAACTAAAAATCTTTTGAATTGAAGATTGTTTAGGGGTGATCTATGATTTGAATGGTTTTTCTGGGGATATGATTTTCAAATGTAGATTAAGAAATTGAAATGCTCCGATTATGAAATTTATACAGTAAAAATACGTTATTCTAAGGGGGCGGGATATATGCATTTTCCAAGATGCAAGTATTATCCTAAAATGGCAAAAATAATAACACACCGAAAAAAAAAAAAAAAAAAAACTTTCTACTACGGAAATGTATTATGCATTCCCTTTTCACTTTTGTGCTCTCCTATCTAGTTTCTAGCCATTAAATTGAATAACTATAAAAGAAAAATCAACGGAAAAAATTAAGAGGAGAGTGCAGAACGTGAAACATGAGTACGGAAATCACTTATTTTTTACTTTATACGTGTAACAAAACAAGAATGGTAAGTTAAACTTATAAGTTGTTTTCTCAAGAACTTCTAAAGAAAATAGGTTAGTAAAGACACCCCAAACAAATAAGTTATTTCTAACCAGTACCGCGTTGGAGGGTTCAGAAATATATACCCATTCAAGAAGTACCACCCAGACAAATTTGATGCTTCTGTGAGACCTGCCCTCCATCTCCACACCTTCCCCATGTCATCCTTGAACTTGCGTTCATGGTTAGCGAGTGCCTCACCAAAACTACCTTTCTGGTTACGTATGTCCAAAGGATCCAACTCGTAGTATACTGGCCAAACGATTTGTTGCTTTGATTCTCTACATTGGAGGATCTTAACCAGTTCCATCAGGCACCAATCCGAGGATGCATAATTTTCGGTGAATACAATGATCGAAATCCTCGACTCTTCGATAACCTTGAAAAGCATCAGTAATGGAAGTTCTTCTCGTAGGTTTTGATTCCCTTATGAAGCAAACTCCTGTGCAAATTGTATGTGAAATTGTTGTGTGTATCCGCAACTCTATAACTAAGGAAGACATCATATGAAGAAGAGGCTCCTAACTGAGTGCTCATTGGAAGAGATGACAATAATGCTACTTATGTTAAAGACTCTCTTGTTTATATATAGAGTGCTTTTCAAGGACGTCTCTGATATTTCAAAGTATTGTGCGAAATTTATAAAAAAATCCACCTTAAGATAGTCTTCCAACAAAAAAAAAAATGTATTAATGCTAAAAAGCAAAGACTTAAGTTTGAAACAACTGATTATAAATTTTCAATGAGATGAAGAAATACCTAAACCTACCAATTCCAACTTAATATATTTTAACTAATAAATACCTAACCTTAATTGAAGTCTCCACTGCATCACTCTAAACACTTGAATTATTTTAGTGGTTTGAGAATTTCTCTTCAATTGGCATAAAATTATGATTTGAAGAGCGAGTCTTACGGAAAAAAAAAAAGTGGGGGAAATAAAAGGGGGAAGTGGCAGTGAGAATTGACATAAAAGTTTGAATTGTAATTGTGTTTGCACGCCCTACTAAATTATTATTTTTTGTACAATGATATTATTTAGGAAGGGAACTAAGGGGATGACCTATACAATGGTTTGCTTAAGAAATCATAATAGTGGGAAAGTTGGAAAGAAAGTAATAGTTGCCCCACTAATGTAAAATTGGAAAAAAAAATAAATAAATAAAATAAATTAAAAAAAAAGGTTTTTTTTATTTAAATAGCAATTTTTTTTTGGAGAGCCGGTCAAATTTAGGCCCCTATGCAATCAAACATTCCGCTCCTCCTTAAAGCCGCTATTAGTGTTTTTCTCCGTCTTTAACTGAAAATAAATAAATAAATAAAAAAACATCTAGTGTAGAGAAAAACACTTTATAAGTGGGAATCTCGCTCAACTGTAGCCGGAAGAAAAATCCATATTGACAACATAACAACATATAATAACAATTGATATGTCGTTCAATATATATTTTCAATAGTAATTGATTATACAGTTGTTGATGTGTTATCGATATGATCATGCTCCAGCATAGTTGAGTGAGACCTTCCTTAAGAAGCGGATCTATGCTAAAAGATGTACTTATGTTAACGCAACTTGATTAGCATCACATCTGTTTACTAATCCAGTTGTGAAAATTGATCATAGTGGTGATATTATATACTTGATTGACCCTGTTTCCGACGCTGCGCATTGGATCCTAAAAAATTATAGTCAACTTTCAATTGCATGAAAAATAAAGACTGATTAAGAGGACAAGAAACAAAAAATATAAAATCAATTGATAATCGGTTCTTTATGCTATTGCATGGTTCTTTTCCTGTCATTTCAGTTTTTGATGGGTCATACTGAACTCTTTAAATAAAAATTGGGAAATGATTTCCGCAATCTCCTCCTTCTGTGCACTCTGTTTAAATAAAAACTTACGAGTGCACGTATCATGAGAAATCGCAATACGCCAAATGGTAAAGCTTGGTTTTCAATCGAAGCCATGGAGAAGTTTTACAACACTGAGGCAAATCACGCATGTTTCAAGGCAACTAAACAGATGTTGGAGACAGGATAATTTAATGTGTACAATGCATCCAAGGAGTTGAAGAATATTGTAATCGCCCATTTCGGCAAACTAACTACAGCTTTACACTCGAATATCAACACAGCATTCGAACTGGTAACCAAGCTTTTGCACCTGCAGTGTCCGGCAAGTTTGAACCCGTCTTCACGAATTGGCCAGAAGGGCCATTTGACATGTATGCCAAAGCGGATTGTAAAACACCCTTTTTTGAACATCCAAATCTCATCTGGATAAAAAGCGTACATAAATAATGCTTTGTATCTTCACTATGCTTTTACAAACGCCCGGCTGGACACACCATGCAACAATTTCACAAACCCAAGGAAGCTTAGCTTCCCATCAGTGTGCCTAATCCAGTCATGGAGAACCACATGAAGTGGGATGGAAGGACCAAGCCCAAGTTCCTGAATCACAATTTGGAGAGAGTATGAATAACAGTAGTCTCAGTCCAGTACATTACAGATTGAACAGAGCCTTATAAATCTTTCGTTCCAGAGGGCCCAAATTAAAAACCAAATCAACATCAAATTCTTGACACGAAGGCCAGATGCCACCAGAATGCAGATGCATGGGATGTGCTCATATCTTAGAAATAAAAAACTCTAGGCGAAAATATGCTATGGGAGCATGAGCATTCAATTTCAGCTCATTTTCAGTTTGGTCCTTTTTCTCTTGTTTCAGTTCGATCTTTCAAATTTTTAAGTGAAGCAATGCAGTCTTTTGTGCACCAAAATCATGCTTTTGTTTTCACTAGTTATTGTGGTCCATGGTTTACTGACATAATGCATTAACTGCTGCATTGATGACAAAAGTCGGTCATAGAACATATGCAACTGAGCTGACCAGATTGCTTAAATTCGAAATAATAAAAAGACCAAACTGAAATTTTAATCAAAATCTAAGCACCAAAAGTATAGTTTATCCAGAACTCTACTTCTCCCTCCCTACACCGTTCTTTTAACCAAAAGTATGTTACTTAAGAAATGTAACGAGTAAAACAGACACTTCTAGATATGTCAGCAAGTCCAATTCATAAGTAACATACTATTATACTCAGAAATCGACCTTATGATTACTAAGCTTTCAACTAACATATAGCAGACTGCAAATGTGGCATTAAAATTTCAACTTACCGAAGCAAGTTCTTCAATGACAATTGCCCTGTTTCCATCCTTCTCGAAAAGTTCATATGCACATCGAGCATGTTGTTCCCAACGATCAAGTGCCTCGAGCTGATGAACACTTAATGCAGCTGCACAGAACTCATCAAAATCCATTCTTCTGTATTGAAGTGCATTTAGCTGTCATGGGAGAAGTACTAACCAGTCAGTACTTTTATAACCTATTGAGCCTAATACCATAGAAATATTCACAGAAGCAACCAAGTTATTACCGATGAAATGAGATCAGAAATGCGAGACTCCTTCATTGCGTCTGTAGCATTTTTCGTGAGGACCTATCCAGGAAAAATAAAAAAGAATACTTTAATTATCAACTTATCTGTGTGTGTGTGTGTGTGTGTGTTTTAGAGAGAGAGAGATACCAACCATTCTAATATTGTCAAGAGTTATAGTGCCATTTTTGTTTGGCTCCAATAGAGCAAACTGCTCCTTCAGATAAAATAGTTCATCCACAGTCAATGTCTTAGACAAGGCCTGTCACGTCAATTTACAGAAATGAAACGTTAAGAGAGTGATTAAATACATCTCAATATATAAAGTATAAAATGATTCACTAAATAAACAAAAATAAATAATTAAAAACACAACTACACAAACACATAGAAGAGTAATTTGGATGAAGCAATCATCAAGCATTAACCGATAACATCTCAGAAACCTCTCTTATTTCCAGTAATTATACACATGACCTTATAGACAAAAAATGAGAACAGATAATTATCGGTTTTACCGAGTCGCCATTATTAGTTAATGGAATACTAATAATTACTTTCCAATTCTATATTTTTTAAGAGGCACAAACAAAAATCCCATTCATCAAGAAAACTAACCCAATCATTTGACTTGATATACAAAGTTCTTAAGACCAAGAATCTTATTCAGCATGCAAAATTCGAGAAAAAGTTCTCACTTTTCGTCAGTGAAAACATATACACACCCTTAAAGCAGCCTTCCGAAGGGATGATGATCGCATATAAGCCTTCATGAGTCTAAATACTAAAATATCAAGTGGCACTTTTATGTCACTATAATTCCGGATCCAAGGATGACCTGCCAAAAAAAAAAAAAAAAAGTTATAGCCAGTGACTCAGGAAAATGGTAGCAGAAACTTATCCAATCATACAGACATGGAAAACTCACTTAGAGCCTGTGCTGCTGTCATTCGTTTCCGAGGGTCCTTGTTCAATAAGCGTTTGACAAAGTCCTTTGCTTCAAGAGATAAAGTGGGCCAAGGTGCTTCATCAAAACTTGGATCAGCTTTCAAGACCGCCCGAAAAATTCCAGACTCAGTCCGGGACCAAAATGGACGGCTACCACATAAGAGAATATATGCTATTACACCAATACTCCATACATCGGCCTCTGTACTATAAGATCTATGTAGAACTTCAGGTGCGACATAGTATGCACTTCCAACAATATCATTAAGCCTCTCGTCTGTAAGACAGAAATGATATTAAAACCCTATCCAAAATCAATAAACTGAGAGATCGATAACAAAACAAGCTAAAATATTGAAGAAAGGACAAACCTGGTCTGGCAAAATCAGACAAGCCAAAGTCAATGGCTTTCAACTGGGAATTCTCATCTTTGGCGGTATACAAAAAGTTCTGATAACAAAAATGAAAAAAAAAATAGCATTAGCTTAACATAAAGAGAATTAGATTACAACCGACAATAACAAATATATCAAGTATAAGATGATAAAAAACTGCCAAGACCTTCTAGCTTTCATGATGATACATATATCAAGGTATCTGAGTATATGAGTGGAATATAAGCCGATTAACTAGTTTGAATTTTTGGAAACCCTACACTTCCCACATAAATGTCTTTTCAACAAGCACATAAGTTAAAATATTGAACAAGAAAATGTAGGTCAGGTCTCAGCTCCAATTGTTCAAAACCAGATGCTGTAGGAACAGCCGCTGTGGATTTACTATTTCAACTCACTGAAATATTTCCCCTCCAAGCCAGACAGAACATAATGCCAGCTATATGATTAAACTAAAATTTATCAGATTTATATAACCATTATTTGTGTCAAGCTTTCTTTCCCCTGTCAAAAAAAACCACAAAATCTGGGAATCTGGGAACCTAAGGTGTGAACTGAGTAATTATGACACCCTGCAACAATCTATTGACAGATTGTATGAGACTGGAGGCGCCTAATAGTACTAACTACTAAAGTAAAAAGATTTTTTCCAGAAGACAAATAGGTTTTTGTCCTGCTACAGGACGATGTTTAATCTTAGTCCAGAAGACATCAACCATGTATAAGTACCAATCATTTTAAACAGTTGGATAATTCAGGGCCAGATTGGGAAACGACAGATACAGTCAATTGAAACAGAAGGGGTTTCTATTGCAATCTCTCAGTTGTATAAAAGTAACCATTTGTCGTGTTGTTCAATTCCTTGTATACAGTCTTGGGGGTTGGCGAGGTGGAGGGACACTCAAATCTAAATCAAGTTTGTTCCGAGAATTCACCACCCCACACCCCCCCCCCCCCAAAAAAAAAAAAAAAAGGGGATGCTGCAGGCAAGTTTAACCAGCCTCATTCACCGCTAGAAATTCTGAACAACATTTAGTCACTTCAACTATCTCTGATAGGGGTACCTTTGTCCACATTGCCTACACCTGGATCTTCATTACAAACACGCATCTCATCTGCTAATTAGATAAAAAGAAAATTAGAGAGATTTATTCCACCTCTGGCTTAAGATCCCTGTGTACCACACCCTGGAGATGACAAAATGCGACAACATTCAGTATTTGCACCATGACAGTCTTCGCATCATCTTCTGAGTATTTCCCGCCCCTTCAGAAGAAACAGAATATCAAGTTAGTAGAAAAGAAAAAAATATCATCATCTGAAAGTCCCTATGGAAGATGTTTAATTTATATACCTTGAAAGTATTCTATCTAAAAGCTCTCCACCTTCACACAACCTGAAATGTCGGGAAAAAAAAAATGAATGCCATAGAGACGTCAAACATCTTTAAGAGGGACGTAAACAATCTTCCTGTAAATTAAATAAGAGAAAAAACAGCTGAAGATGTTTAATTTATAACGCTAAGCTTGTGCTCGAAAGAGGCACAAGCTTAGCGTTATAAATTTTTACCCAGTCAATCACTATTACTAGTGAAAGAAACCTAACCAGATGTAGTCTTAAACAGGAATTCAAAATTTTAACTTACTCCATTACTATGTAGACATTATCACTGTCTTCAAATGCATCATAGAACTTAACTAGATTGCTATGTCCAGTCAAGGCTCGCAATATCTTGACCTCCCTTCTCACATCCTCGATTGCAATAGCAGTTGTCATCTAACAACAAACAATACATTGTCATTAGAAGAAACCATAACAAAATAAAATACAGAAAATGCATGTATTAAAAGTAAAATCAACTACCAAAGCCACCTCACGTAAAACAAACATCTCACAGCAATCATATCTTATGTTTCCCCTCCAAACTTACTCGGGAAACAGGAAAGTCAATTGTATACCAGTATTCCATCACTAATCATGATCTTGGACTTATTTTTCAAGGCAACTGGAATATTTACCTCATCCAATTTACATTGTTCAATGCTCATAATACCCAATCTACTTTACATGAATAAATTCACACACTATTCTTTACAAAGATAATTCCCAGCATATGAGTCATACTTGCAGTTTATTAAAAACCACAAAGTTGTCAACTCCTATCCCTAATATATTTTTTTTTTTTTTTCACTTTTTACCCTTCTTTCTTTTACAGGGGACTTCTAGGGAAGGAAAGCAAAGTCCAGGGCTAGAAGTCATGATCTTTTTATTCTTTGATGAGGGAGTGGATAGATTGAGTCAACCTCCATGGATATTGGTTGAGTCCCTTAAACCTTTAGTATTGGTTGGACATACATCTTTGTAGCTTTGTCCAAAAGAATATATTGTCAATCATATACCTCCAATTACTGGTGAACCACCTCATGCTACATGATCATCAAAAACAAAACAATACAAGATTAAGTACAATGTTCCTTCCCTCTCGCAATAAGCGTCATACAATCTGTCGAGACTTCTGATCGTTAACCATGTACCGGGCCAAGATTGTGAAATGTGACCCACCAAAAGTTTTCGGCAGTTCCGGATGGCTGTAAGCATTGGGTTGTTACTGGCCATTATCCGAACGGTGCTATATGATTTAGTTCAATTATATATCTGCGGGAAGGTCAAGACCACAATTTGGACCATGACTTTCGTTAATGAGTAGGTCCACAGTCCACTCACAACCAATGGACTGTATTCTTTGTTCATCATGTAGAATGAACTGTCACATCTTAGGAACCGACGAAGTGTTATATGGCTGAGAAGCCATTAAAAAATAAAATTAAAAAAAAAGTTGTATTATTCCTATACCCACTACATGGAATTCAATCAGTTACCAAAGATACACATTTTTTTTAAAGAAAACAATGTACTTTCATTGAGGTGGATCAAGTAAGCCAAGAGATCAATACCTATTATTGACCAAAGAAAAGCAATAAACAAACAACTTGGTCACTTTTCACCCCTTTCACTCAAAGTTCCAAGATGTAGAGTTGTATTTTTATTAATCTTTTTTCTTTTTTTGTTAAATGCCTAATATTCCCTATCTAGAAGAACTAAACAACAGTCAATATGAACACATGACGAGATCTTGCAAGATCTTCCCTGTGCCACATACGACCTCGAAGGATCTTCGACCTTACTTAGCTACGAAAGAACACAATCACACTGTAAACCACCACTCCCTGCTCCCGAGGTAAAGATGAAAAGGACTTTGAAAAGAGAGTCAAAGAGTGCTCGAAATTGTTGGGAGAGAAAAGGATCACAAGCCGGTCCGTCGATCAGCTCGAGGAGTAGACCGAAGCCCACAACACCAAAAACAACATTAACAATAACAACGATTCAACATTGCCCTAAAATCTCAGGTTTTACCTTCAAGAATGACCAAAACATAAAAAATAAAACCCAGATTTTATCAACCAAGATTAAGCATATGAGAGCAAGAAAATCCAATTTTTACAAACAAATTATAGATTAACTAAAAATCATACATGCAAATAAGAGCATTAGGCCAAACCTTTGTTTTAGGGATGACCTTCACAGCGACCTGCTGACCCTTAAACTCCCCCTTTTTGTACCTAGCAGAGCAAGTATATCCAAAATGCCCTCGACCCAGTTCGTCCCCAACCTCCAATCGACTCGTTACCTCCTTGGAGAACCCAAACCTCTTGTCCAGCTCAACCCCATCCTCCTCCTCTCCGTCCTCCGGTATCGCCACTGAAGCCGATGCCTTTTTGCCCAGCCGCCGGGCGAGCACGGCCTTGATGTGCTTCGCCGGCGACGGAGGCGGAAAGGGTCGGCGGAAGAACCGGCTGGGGGTGGAAGTGGCGCTCTTGCTCCGCGACGGGGACGACTTCTTGAGGTAATGGGCAGGGCTGGGACTGTAGAAGGAGTAGAAGGGGGACTGGGACTGGGACTGGCGTGAAGCGACGTCGTCTCTCCGGTGGTGAGGGGTGTGGGATGGGAGGGATTTGGGGGTTTGGGAAGGATGGTTTGGGTCATTTACGTCCCTTGGGGAATATGGGTTCTGCTTTGGAGGTTTCGAAGTGCAGACTCCCATGGCGGTTTCTGTGGTTTGAGAAGAGGAGTGAGAGAAAATGGGTGAAAGATTGAAGATTTAAGGCTTAATTGGGCAGCAAAAGCAGAAAAGCTGCTTAATTCAATGGTTATAGTTGTGGCATTGTGAACTGTGTGGGAGTGTAGTTCTAGCTCTAGCTCTAGCTATAGGATTTTTGTTTGAGAATGCTTGTAGGTGCCGCTGTTGCTCCACTTTTCTTGTGTTGTCGAGAGAGAGAGAGAGAGAGAGAGCAGGGGATGGTGGAGCTGTTGGAGTTAATAATAAAACGCAGGAAAAGGTGTAAATGTGTAGAGAGAGGGGGAGAGAGAATGGGTATTTGTTGGGGACGAGGACCAGGAGATGATGACTGAAGGAGATGAAAGCGTGGAAGTGAGCTGTGGATTGTATCTTGTGTGATCTCACTGGGCACGTGGCAAGCACGACAATTTGGAATTTCGACCATCGAATTAAATACGTCAAACAAAAATAACAAATAAAATTAAACAATGATGTTTGAAAGGTTAAAAACGATATGTTTATCGTTTCTCGGCAAAATTAGAATTTGGGGGTTAGGGAAACTTGAGATTGGGTATTTTGGCACTTTGGGCGGTCTTTCGTCCATTAAAAATTCTACTTTTATCACTTATTTGTATTATCTCCTTGATAAAGATATGATCTATATGTGTTGACCGACCTACCTTTATTAGAGAGATAGTCCAAATAATAATACAAATAAATGATAAATGTAGCATTATTTTTCTTCCGTTCTTAAACATGACGCAAGGACAATGAAAGTCGCAAAAAATGGGAATCGCCATTGCCATTGGCAAAAGCAAGAAAAAGAAAAGTGATAAGAGTCCATTATACCTTGCTTAGATCTTGAAATATACTTTCCATATGAGATTTCAGTTACCCGGAAATGATTTGGATAGTCCATTTACTTGACTAATAAACAGGGGGACCAACGTTGGCATCCATCAAAAAAAAAAAACTACTCGACATTAACATATGAATAGCTACTATTTTTACGAGGAAATTGGAGTAATAGTTTTTGAATTGTAACTCAATTGTAATTTTGATTCTTGAACTAGAACTTTATTAGATGTGATCTTGAATTTGATAAAATATAGAGTATTGGTCATTTCATGTTACCTCCGCTAGATAAAGTTCAGAGATAATTGCTACAGTTGAGTTAAACTCAATTGAATTAAAGGTACACAAATTTTATAAAAGGCTTAATTACCCTATTGCCCCCTAAAAATGTTTGTGAGTATCATTTTGCAAACTAAATGACGTAAGAGTTGATGATTGGATTATTAAACGTGTCCATTCTTATTAATGACACATCATATAGTTTGAAAATTTTATCTATAAATTTAATTTCTCTATCTTGACCAACCTCCTATATATCATGTTTTGTATCCCACTTTGCCATATGCGGTTTTGTTGTTAAGCTTTTTGGATTTGGATCCAGTTCAGACCTCTTTGTGAGGATCTTGTGGATTTTCATGTCTTATCCATTCATTGTATATCATGCAATTAGAAATCATTTTTATTTTTTTATTTAAAATTAAATATAAACAGTACCAAACAAAAATTAGTCGCACGATGAATGAATAAGATGTGAAGATCCGTAGAGGATCCTCATCTAAGTTTTCTATGTTAGTGTACCACAAATGGGTCCACTATTTGCTTGTTCGTATGCCAAGCGGGTGCCACATGTGCAAAAGACATTGTCTTTGAAACATTTTAAACAAACTACTACATTTACCATCTAACTGTACCATCACTTGTACCATCTCTCTAATAGAATTCTGTCAATGCATGTAAGTCTCATCTTTATTAGAGAGACGGTACAAATAATAGTATAAATAGATAGTAAAAATAGCATCTTTGAGATTAAAATAACTAAAGGTTAATTCTTCTCAAAATATTTCCCCAACTCTTCCGCGGTTCCACCAAGCACCCACCCTTTCTTGAGATTTTTTAGGCTTGGGGCGACACCAAAATATGTGCCCTAACTTCATATAAAAAAATTCTTTGTTTTACACATAAGACTTCATAAAATTATACTTAGAAAAGCACTTCAAACTCAATAATTTAGAACGCACGGAAAGACTAGTTTATTTTGTATCGAGAAAATGAACCAAAACCCGATCTTACAAGTAGATAGATGATGAGTTTTGTTTTCCATCTATTTGAACTTTTATAAATCATGATGTGTTTGTTCTTATATATTAACCTTGTCAATATGGGACTAAAAAAATAATGATGTTTTCTAGTCTTTAATTGATATGTAACCTATTGGTGACATGTCATATGATTTGCAAATTTGGTCTAAAAATTTTGTCTACGCATTTCTTTTTGTGAAGGTTAGACTTATATTGGAACGAATGTTTAAACATTGCAACGCACATAGCTACTAGCTAGTAATTAAAAAGAAATTAACAACCAAACAGAAATTCGTAAAAATGAAAAGAATGAACATGCACATAGAATTTCGAACTCAAGATCTCTTGTTAATTTTAAATAACAAAAATATTGCTTCTGATTAAACCTCTTGATCATTTAGACAAATTTTATAAATTTAAACTCTTATGAAAATAAATTCGTAAAAGTTGGAAATTAAAAAAAAGACGCATATTGTTTCAAACCCAAGACCTCCTTGATAATTTTACACAACATAAACCACCACTTATGGTCAATTTTTATCATTTGTTCAAATTCTATATATTTATATTCTTATTAAAAGAAATTAGTAAAAATTAAAAAGTAAATAAACATACATAGTGTTTTGAAATCAAAACCTCCTCATTAATTTCAAACAACCAAAACCAGTAGCTCTACAGTTAAATTTCCTTGCCGCAGGGTGAGTAGAATCCGGTTATTTGTCGGCGAGGTTCTTGATAATTTGAATTTTTCGAAGTGCAAATGCGGTGTTTTGGAGGTGATCGAATGACTTGTGTAGTATAGCAGCTAGGGTGGGGGACGTTGGCATTTGCAATGGGAAGGGTGGTGAAGCCATGAAGGTGGCTATGGATGAGTGATTGAGCGAGAGTTCTATCATATATCTTATGCCCAAGTATCTTAAACTCCCAACCTTTTAGTGTCATTTTAAATTGGTCTCAATATTTTTAAACATTCTAAATAAGTACCCAATTTATTGAATATGTCACATTCGTTAAGTCCCAATTAATTTTCCGTTATATGTACATGTGGCAAAAATAGATTCCACTTATTTGCTTACTTGGACACTAAAATAATAATAAAAATAACTTCAAAAAAGACTTGAAGGTGAAAAATAATAATAAATAAACAAATTTACGAATAAAATAGAAAACAAAAATGAAGATCAGAAAATCTCTTATGTGACATCCTACATCGCCCAAGGGAGTGATCCTTATATGTATATTTTCATCCCTACCTAGCACGAGGCCTTCTGGGAGCTCACTGGCTTCGGGTTCCATGGGAACTCTGAAGTTAAGCGAGTAGTGCGCGAGAGCATTCCCAAGATGGGTCACCCATCGGGAAGTTCTCGTGTGAGTTTCCAGAAACAAAATCTTGAGGGCGTGGTCAGGGCCCAAAGCGGACAATATCGTGCTACGGTGGTGGAGTGGGCCCGGAAAGTGGTCCCCCCTGGGCTGGGATGTGACAATTTGGTATCAGAGCCTAACCCTGGTTGCGTGTGTGCCGACGAGGACGTCAGGCCCCTAAGGAGGGTGGATTGTGACATCCCACATCGCCCAGGGGAGTGATCCTTATATGTATATTCCCATCCCTACCTAGCATAAGGCCTTTTGGGAGCTCACTGGCTTCGAGTTCCATGGCAACTCCGAAGTTAAGTGAGTAGCGCGCGAGAGCATTCCCAGGATGGGTGACCCATCGAGAAGTTCTCGTGTGAGTTCCCAGAAACAAAACCGTGAAGGCGTGGTCGGGGCCCAAAGTGGACAATATCGTGCTACGGTGGTGGAGCGGACCCAGGAAGTGGTCCCCCCCCCCCCCGAGCCGGGATGTGACATCCTGACAAAGAATAGGTTTAGGAATTCATATAGCATTTCAAGGAGCTTGTTTATGCTTGTGATTTCCTCATTTGCCGATTTTCGTTTAGTAAAGCTTCTAGTTCTTCTTTATGGGCAGTGAAGATAGTGGTGACAGCATCATAGCAGTCCATACCATTTCAACAACTTCTAAGACCTTCTTCTTGATGTTGGTGGCTTGAGTTGTGGGGTGGAGTTTGTGGTTGTGAGTTTGTTTTGAAGTGATGATCTGAAGGGGGAAGTGGCTGTTATTTGGTGAAGGCCATGCTTCCATGACTCTCTATTGATGTTGTAGACAGAGTAAGCCCTTAATTTAACAAAAAACTAATTGGGTTTAACAAATGTGACATTTTCAATAGGTTGGATACTTGTTTGGAATGTTGAAAAACGTTGAGACCAATTTAAAATTACACTACAAGGTTGGACGGTTTTATGTACTTAATCCTATATCTTAATACTTTCAAATTATAATTTTATATACTTAAACTACAAATTAAATAGAAATTTTGTTAAGTGGGACCTATTTGTACACGTCAACATATTTGAATGGAATACTTAATGAAATTAACAGTTTACGGTAAAGTGGGACACAAAAACATGATTTAGGGGTATTTTAGGTCAATGTAACGCTTAGGGTGTGCTTGTTTGGGCTCACTTTCCTTGGACTGGACTGGACTAGCTATTATTGTAGTCCAATGTTTGTTAGGCTGAAGGATTAGGTTTAATGGGATTAAGTCGGACTCGCTCCGACTGACTCCCTCACTAAAAGTTCTTAACCAAACCTCCCGAATATCCCAGGACTGCTAAGACCCCCGCGCTGCTTTGTATGACTTGTCCAAACCTTGTGCCTTGTTCCAACTTACAAGATCTTAATCCTTGAAAATAAGGATGTTTTTCATATGGGTTCGGCAATTTGGGGTCTTCCACCATTTGGGTCTTTTGGTATCTTAGATCGCACACATACATACATCGCTCTCTCTCAGAAACGCCCTTAATTTTCACTTACCAACCAACCCGCTTCCGCTAATTATTCCCCCACCAATCGCGTTCCGTCGCGGGAATTCAATTGTCGACTCTCGTTTTCAATTGACCATGATCTGAATCTGGTACGCCAGACAAGTTGAGTGATTATTTGGAATTGGGGATTTTGAAAGGTGTTTGGTTGGTGAGAAAATTGAAAGAGAAAACAAAAGAAAATAGAATGGCAATTAGTAAGAACTGGGGAATTGCGTGAAAGGAAATGGGATTTTGAAAGGTGTTTCGTTGGTTTCTTTTTTGCAAACGGGATTCCATGAAAGCAACAGATGTTCAGGCCAAGCTTGCTGAAGGAAACA